AAAAAAAAAAAAAAAAAAAAAAAAAAAAAAAAAAAAAAAAAAAAAAAAAAAAAAAAAAAAAAAAAAAAAAAACTATAAATATGGTATTAACCTCTATTTTATTTATTATTTAAATCAACAAATAATAAATCACCCCAATAAAAATATTCATGATTCCATATTATTTAACAAGATCGAAATGGATTATTTACTAAAAAAATAAAAATGTATTTGTTTGTATTGCAATGTATAATCTTCTAATGTTTTATCTGATTATATACTTTGAATCGAGGGTCAATTAAATGAGATTCGATCTTCGTGTCGTAGTTTACAAAAAGACAATCTCTTGAATTATCGAAATCCTGATGAAAGGTTACGGCTTACGATTCTCCGAGATTAATCAATAAATGAAGGGTTTCGTACATTCTTAATCTATTAACGCATTCTAGTTTTCTACGCATCAACTATCGTGTAAACTTCTATGTCATTTGACAAATAACTTTCCGTGAGTTCTTGCAATAATTTCAAATTTTAATAGAAAATTCAAACTTACGTCTATCAATATCATCAAATATCTAACGGTCATGTGAGTATCAATTACGAGTTTAGTTCAACTAGTTAAAGTGAGATTGTTGAAGATAAGTTCGATATTTAAAGTAAGAAATAAAATCAAAATCAAAATCAAAGATAGACTAAACTTAGCAGACAAAAAAAAAAAAAACAAGACAAAATGATAGGCACAAAGTTTGGGTATGAACAAAAGTGTGCAAGGGGTTGCAATAATTGAAGATAATGAGGTTGACAAGTAACAAAGACAGATAATCTAACCACCAAATCTGATATTCCTCCAAGGGTAGGCCATGGCTACTTGCCTTTCTTATCTTCCCAACCCATTCATAAACCATCCATAGCTAATCTCAACCACTTCATTATGTCCATAAAAAGATTTACAAGGTCAAGGCAGGCAGAGAGAAGAAAAATTGAGCTGTTCATGCAAAAACAATGTTCGGGTTTAAGCTAAAGCCGAACGAAACGATTTCCGACCATTGACCTAGTTAATGATCTCGTCAACTTCAAGCATGTTGATATCTAACATCTTAACAGCAGTACAAAGAAAGAAGGAGATTAGACCATTGTTAAACCCAAATCTATCGGTGGCAGATATTGTCCTCTTTGGACTTTCCCTTTCAAACTTTCCCTCAAGGTTTTTAAAACGCATCTACTAGGTAGTGGTTTCCACACCCATACAATTATAGAATTATAGAACAAAGTTACTTTTCACATACATATACACAAATAAGCATTGCGTACGTGAACAGACAAATATGTTATATATAATCCACTGCATACAAAGTTGAGATGTAAGATCAAAGCTTTTCTTCTCCACAACTTGAGAGAACCAGAAGGATATAAGTTTAAGGTGTGGAACATGTACTTAGCTTCATGCACAGGCCCTTAGGAAGATCCAAGAGATTCTTTGGAAGAAAGAGAAGCCACAGGGTGGTCGGCTGGCATTGATTTCAATCGTTTCATCCATGCCGATGACGTCGAACGATGAAGCCGACACCTAAAGGAGCCTTGATGCATCGTGGGTGAGCACAGACACTGGCCTTTCGGCGAACTCGACCTCACGGTCTCAGCATCTCTGTTGCCATGTTTAGGAGATGTGGAAACCGCAACGCTAAGGCTGCCATCAGAGGCCATATCTGCAGACTGCAAGAAGTATGGAAACTCAAGTATTTAAAAGAGCAAAAGCTCTGTTAATCACTGTGAATGTTTGATTAATCCACCACACCCAAATGGTGGTGAGAGTTCTCTTATTTATAATCATTTACAGAATACAGAAATAAGGTAAATTACAAATAATAAGGAAATAGCGATAAAAGGAAAGAATAATAAATGAATACAATATATTTGCATTTAGTAAAAGAGAAAATATGGTAACCCGTAATGTAAGGCAAATATCTAGATATTTGCCTTAATGAACGGTCAACTATCCTTAACACCCCCCCGCAAGCTGAGCGTCGGATTTGAACGAACATGAAGCTTGGATCTGAAAAATTCAAAGAGAGGTCGAGAAATACTCTTTGTGAAGATGTCAGCAACTTGGAGATGAGAGGGTACATATTGTGTACGAAGTTTGCCAGCGATAACAAGTTCTCGAAGGAAATGATAATCTAGTTCAACATGCTTGGCCCGCTTGTGAGAAACAGGATTAGAGCTCAAAAAAATAGCACTTTTGTTGTCACATAAGAGTAAGGGCTGCTGTGAAATAGGGACCTTGAGGTCATGCAAAAGATGCGTAACCCAAAGAAGTTCAGCAGCAGTTGTGGCAAGAGCACGATACTCAGATTCACAGCTGGAGCGTGATACAGTAGGTTGCTTTTTGGCACTCCAAGAAATGAGATTGTTACCAAGATAAATAGAATAGCCGGATGTAGAACGACGAGTATCGGGACAACCAGCCCAGTCAGCATCCGAATAAGCGACTAGCGTACTAGGAACAGTGGATGGACGAAAGATAAGACCAAAGTGGAGTGTTCCTTTGACATAGCGAAGAATACGTTTGACAGCAAGAAAGTGATCTGCAGTAGGGGCATGCAAGAATTGACTGACAGAATTGACAGCATAGGCAATATCTGGACGCGTGATAGTCAAGTACTGAAGGGCGCCAACAAGAGATCTGTAGAGAGTAGGATCAGAGAAAGGAGAACCATCAGCAGTCAGGTGTTGAGAAACAACCATGGGAGTGTGAACTGGTTTGCTATCGAGCAACTGAGCACGAGTAAGAATATCTCGAGCATATTTTAACTGACTGATAAAGAGACCATCAGGAGTGGGTGAAGCTTCAAGACCAAGAAAGTAACTGAGAGAACCCAAATCTTTGGTAGCAAACTCAGAATGAAGCTTGCGAGTAAAGCTGTTAATAAGAGATGAGTTGTTGCCGGTAACAATAATGTCATCAACATAAAGAAGCAAATAGATAAGGTTAGATTGCTGATGAAAGACAAAAAGGGACGTGTCAGCGCGACTACAAGAAAACCCAAGTGTGAGAAGAAATGAGCTAAAACGCTGAAACCAAGCACGAGGAGCTTGCTTTAAGCCATAGAGAGCTTTCTTTAATAGACAAACATGCTTTGGAAATCGAGGATCAACATACCCAGGAGGTTGTTCCATATGAACACGTTCAATAAGCGTTCCATTGAGAAAAGCATTCTTGACATCAAGTTGTCGAAGAGGCCATTTATTTGTGACTGCAATAGAAAGCACAACACGGACAGTGGTAGCTTTGACAACTGGACTGAAAGTGTCAGTGTAGTCAAGACCAGGAACCTGAGTATAACCTTTGGCAACGAGACGAGCCTTGAAACGCTCGACGGATCCATCGGGCAAATATTTAATACGAAACACCCATTTAGAGCCCACGATGTTGGTGTTGGCAGGGCGAGGAACCAAAGTCCAAGTATCATTTTGTTGTAACGCTCGAATTTCTTCATCCATGGCAGCCACCCAAGCAGGATTCTTAGCCGCAGATTTGAATCCTTTTGGCTCAGTGGATGCAAGAAGAGCAGAGAGAAGTCCAGATGAGCCCAACATACCAAGATTTGCTGGATGACGAGTCTTGAATATACCAGCTTTGGCGCGTGTGATCATAGGATGAGTGCCCAAAGAAGAGAAATCAACAGGAGGTTCAATAGAGGTTGAATTAGAAGTCGAGGGTGACAAAGTGGAACCTGCAAGAGAAGTATCAACCTGCACAGACTCATCTACAAGGTCAGAACAAATATCACACGGGGATGAACTGGATTGAGGAATGTGCGGTGATGAAGTGGTAGGGGGGGATGAATCAATATGATGAAGATGTGGTTCCAAGAAATTTGAAATAGGAATAGTGGAAAGAGGTTGGGCTTGGGAGCTAGGGATAGCAGGAAAGTGAGTTTCATCAAATTGAGCATGGCAGGTGATATATAGCTTAGTGGTGGCGGGATCAAGACAGCGGAACCCTTTATGAACAGGACTATAACCCAAAAAAATACAAGGAATGCTGCGGGGAGAAAGCTTGTTAGGCATATAATCACGCAAATAAGGATAAACACGACAACCAAAGGGATGAAAATTGTCATAATGTGGAGTGTAGCCATAAAGGAGTTCAAAGGGTGACTTACCTCCAAGAAGTGGAGTAGGCAACCGGTTGATAATATAAGCTGCAGTGCTGAAGGCGTCAACCCAAAAACGAGGAGAAAGATGAGAGTGAAAGAGAAGGGCCAAGCCAGTCTCAGTCACATGACGATGTTTTCTCTCAACACGACCATTTTGAGCAGGTGTATATGGACAAGAGAGTTGATGGTGGATGCCAGAATTACGTAAATGAGTTTTGAAACAAGTACTAGTAAATTCGGTACCACCATCGCTTTGAAATACCTTGATACGAGAAGAATATTGATTTTCCACAAATTTTTGAAATTGAAGAAAAATATCAAAAAAATCAGATTTAAATTTTAAAGGGTAAAACCAAGTGAATCGAGAATAATCATCAATAAAAATAGCATAATAAAGAAAACCCGAATTTGATTTGACGGGAGAAGGACCCCAAAGATCACAATGAATAAGATCTAACACATGAGACGACCTACGTTCATTGCGGGAATAAGGCAATCGATGGCTTTTCGCAAGCTGACAACTATTACATAATGATGGAGAAGGCAATAAAGACGTAAGAGAAAGATGACCTTTTTTATTTAAAAAAGAAATAACAGAATGATTCACATGACCCAGACGAGCATGCCATAAATCATATGAAGCACGTAAAGATTTGTTTTTAAGGGCTGAAATAAAAGCAGAGTTGCCGCGCTCCAGCACATATAGCCCTCCATCTCTTTTACCGGTTGCCACCACCCTTCCTGTTTGATGATTCTGGATAGTAATAAGATTATTAGTAAATGTAACGGAGAGAGGAAAATCAGACGTTAATTTACTTATGGAAAGAAGATTTTTAGTGAGGTGAGGGACAACCAAGACATCTAATAAGTGAATATTTGGAACAGGAGAAAGAGTACCGATGTGGGTAATGGGTAGGGATGCACCGTTTCCTACAATCACAGAGTCCTTACCCGTGTAATTTTTAGACTGATCCAGAATTGATGGGTCGGCAGTCATATGGGCCGAAGCTCCAGTGTCCAAAAACCAATCAGCAGCATCGGGTCCAGCAATAGAACATGACGTGTTAAAGGCTTCAGCAAGGTGAGCATGAGAAGAATCAGGTCGAACATACCGTTGGTTGCAGCGGTCAGCATAATGGCCCTCTTTGCGGCATATTTGGCAATGAGGTGGTCGACGACCCTGACTTGAGTGGGTTCGTCCTCGATTAGAAGAGTTGTTTTTGTGAGAATAAGAACGACCTCGCTGGTTGGTAAAGGAAGCAGGGTGACTTTCATGGGTGCGGCCACGATTAGTGGCTATGAATGCTGTAGGAGTGGAGTCAGAGGACTCAAGGGAGCGCTGGAACAACTCAAAACTTTCAGTTTTAGAGACTAGATCTGCAAAACAGGGGATAGGGGTGAGAGCCATCTGAGCAGTAGAAAAAGCTGAAAATTCGGTGCCGAGTCCACGAAGGAACCAATGCACTTTATCAATGTCCTCGACGGGTCTGCCAATGGCATGAAGTTGGTCACAAATTTTTTTGAAGGCACGGGCATACTCAGCAACAGGTTTTGTGCCACGTTTCATCAACTGCAAGTCATCCTTGAGTCTCAGTTCACGAGCTTTTGACTGATGGCTGTACGTAGTTTCCAACGCAAGCCAAACATCACGTGCAGTAGAGAGACCAACGACAACAGCCATGGCTTCCTCAGTGAGAGAGGAGAGCAGGAGACAGAGAAGTCGTTGATCGGCTGCTCTCCATGCCAAATATTTGGGGTTGAATGTTGAGGAGGTTTCTGGTTCAAAGCGAGGTGGTGGAACCATAGTTCCATCGACATAGCCCAGCATGTCTTGACTCTCAAGAAGAGGGAGAAGTTGGCTTTTCCAAAGAAGATAATTGGAGGAAGAAAGTTTGATGGTGATCATATGGATTAGAGTATTGAAAGGAAGAAGATGATAACAAGATTCGGAAGCCATAGAGAAGAAAGGATCAGGGTTGTTAAACCGAAAGGGCTCTGATACCATGTGAATGTTTGATTAATCCACCACACCCAAATGGTGGTGAGAGTTCTCTTATTTATAATCATTTACAGAATACAGAAATAAGGTAAATTACAAATAATAAGGAAATAGCGATAAAAGGAAAGAATAATAAATGAATACAATATATTTGCATTTAGTAAAAGAGAAAATATGGTAACCCGTAATGTAAGGCAAATATCTAGATATTTGCCTTAATGAACGGTCAACTATCCTTAACAATCACAATATAAATATGATCAATATTAAGAGATTTATCCTCAACTAGTGCGTGAGGCTAGAAGTAGTTATAGTGCAATTCAAGAGGTGATATCTTTATTCTTCTTGGTTTGTCCTTAGTGAAAGCAACCATACAAAAAAAGCCCACGCTATCTCTTATGTCAAAAAGAGGAATCTGGCTAAGTTCTATTTGTTTAGTATCAATAATTATAATAATTATAATGATGTGGTCATTCTAAGATATAATATCAATATCTTCCACAACTTGAAACCAAATCAGAAGGGAGGACTAAATATGAGAGATCTCACATCAGTTGGAGAGAGGAACGAAACATTCCTTACAAGGGTGTGGTTTTCCGTAGCAGATGTGTTTTAAAACCGTGAGGCTGACGGTGATACATAATGGGCCAAAACGAACAATATCTGTTGGCGGTGGGTTTGACATGTTACAAATGGTATCAAAGTCAGACACCGAGCGGTGTGCCAGCAAGGACGCTAGACCCCAAAGGGGGTGGATTGTGAGATCTCACATCGGTTGGAAAGAGGAACGAAACACTCCTTATAAGGGTGTGGAAACCTCTAGTTAGCAGACGCATTTTAAAACCGTGAGGCTGACGACAATACATAACATACCAAAACAGACAATATTTGTTATACAAAATATATAATTTCCATTAATAACAATATCTGAAGGGCAGTAACTGAAGTTCAAAACTATGGTTGTTTGATGCTTTTGAGACTGTAGAACTGTGACAAAACTTATCCACATCAAGAGGTTCTTTTCATATCCACTGATCATGGAGGATCAGATACTCCCACTCCACTCAATAATTGAAGTGGATCATTCTCAGGAGTCGGTGAATTTGCTAGAACAGTTCCAAAAAATGAAGAAAAGAGGCCCCATGGAATTATACTGATTCAATAGCTAAAAAGTTCATACTGATTTACCCCATACAGTGCTAGAGAGAAACAAATAGATCAGAATTTTCAATGGTTATCCATTGGCGAAGGAGCGAGCAAACTCAATTTTGGATCTAATATGACGCTTCAATATCAGAATGCCCTTGTTTTGTTTGATAGCTTTATCATACATGACAACAGGGATGGGCCTTCATACATGATATATATTACATTTCAGTTATCGGGATTCCTACAAACTCATGGAGTATTAAATTCGAATAAAAATGAAAGAAAAAACAAAATGCTGAATCAGCTTAGCCGTTCTATTAGACTACTTCCATCATTTGATTTTTTTTAGTTTACAAGAAACCGAACTTTCATTGTGAAAAAATGAAACAGTGCAAGGGCATCCAAAAAAACAAACCCACAAAAGGAGGCCCAGCAAAAGAAAGGAGTTCCAGTCATGTAAAATGAGACCTATCGAGTAATTACAAAAAAGCGTCGTCGCCGACACCCAAAGAGAAACATAGAGCCTGTCAATGGCCCAAACATCACTAGAGTTCCTCGCAACTCCTCGATCATCTCTTTATAACATCCATCCATCTTTTGATTAAAGATTATTTCATCATGTTCTAATGACTCTATACCATTTGGTAATCTTAAAAGTTGTGAAACACTTATAAGGCACAAGAATGGAGCAAACTAATGTAAACAGACAATGTTAAAAGAAGCTTACCAATTTGCAGCAAATCGACTGAACAAAACTGCAAACTGCGATTCAGTACTGGTTGTTCATTAGTACACAAACAATAACAGCCTGCAACAATCACGAGAAAAAAGGATTCAATTTCAAGCGGTACTCCATAATAACAACCAAGATATTGTCATTCTCAATCACCATTTTTCAGGATAGAAAGTCACATTAACAGAGGATACTTAACTCAGCATTCAACATTCGTACAGCTCAGGCTCGCCAGTCTCTTCCCCTTTCTTCTTTTCTTCGACTTCATCTTTTTCGGAAGTATCGCCTGACAAAGAGAGATGATATTGGCATTTTATAGCTCTACACTAAAGTAACCAGAGGAGGGCTCGAAATGACTTGCGAGCAACCAAATGAAAGATTCACGAATTTCCTGGCCCGTTGGCAAGCCAAAGCTGCCCAATGCGTGGATCATTCACCATCTTTAAATTATTACAAATCAAATACTGAAAGCAGGCAAGAATCAAAACCAATTTTCTTGCACAGGCAAGTTATATTGAAACTAAACCAAAAGGCTTAACTTAATGTGTTTGGGGCATTTTATCTTTTGTATGTGAGCTCAAACACTGACTTGATTACAGAGCCAAACTTGGTACATGAGAGCTTAATATATTGATCAGGAGTAAATTATATTTCAGGGATTTGTATGTTTAATCTTCTATTCTAATACCATATTAAACTACGAAGATACCAATAATTTATATTAAAAAAATAGATTATGTTCTAAATATACGAAGCTTAAACAATGTTCTTCTTTTTGTTCTTTTTGTTTATGATTACCTTTTAGGAACGATTTCAAAATCCAAGAAATTAAAAACTTACTTCTGTTTCCATCGACCCTAGCTTACGAGAAGCATTATCAAAATCTAAGAACGATTCAAAAGCCTAAAGATGACAGAATCAAGTCGAATAAGAAACTAAATCAAGACGAGTAACAAGATTTTCAAATTTCGTTCAAATAGAGCTCCACAATGCACGATTAGCCAAATAAAATGAGATAACCAAGGAAGAGAATGAACTTACAGTAGCGAGATCGGAAGGCGAGATGGTTGCGACAATTCCAAATGAGTCTTTCTTCCTTGGATGCCATGAAATGGAAATCACGCCCGAGTCTTTGAGCTTGATTCGAACCCCAACACTGAGATTCTCAGGCTAACAATGAGCGACGACTCGGAAAGAGAAAAAAAATGGCAATTCCGCAGCCATTATCAATCCCACATTTGTTGTATTTGTTATTTATTAATTTAATTTTATTAAAAATATTATTTTAGCTATGTATTTTGCCTTTCGTACTTTTTGTCCATTAATTTCAAATTTTATAATTTTAGTCTACACAAATTTTATTATTCTTTTTTTTTAATATATATATCCATTGATATTCTCTTTGTAAATTGGGAACTGATTTTTTATATTTTTTTGCATAAAAAAATTCATATAATTTAACTAATTTTAATATAAAAAAATGAAATATAACATTTCAATGTGATATTGGTTTATTCATGTATTATTCTTTTACGGAACGTTACAATAAAAATAAAAATAAAAATAAAATTTTATTATAATTTTTAACAAAAATATACGGATTAAATTAATGGAAATATAATTTTAAAAAATAAATAAATAAAAAGGTGTTGAATCTTGGTTAAGTGGAGGGAAGAATAGATTTGGAGCACACAATTTTTGTTCCCTTATCCCAAACACTACCCGCCAAAACATTAAAAGAATAATTAATAATAATAATAATAATAATAATAATAATATAGTGAATTTGGAGAAAACGAAGGCTGGAAACGTGGCGATATTTTGTAAGAACCACGTGGATATGCTTTGCCGGCAGCTTAGCGGCGTAGCCTTGCTCGAAAAGTAAAGGTTGGGAGCAAAATCAGCTGATGAACGACCAAATCTAAGACACTGTACGGCCCTACTTTCCTCAGGTTATTTTATTATTATTTTGATATGGCTGTTCGTTCCCCACGCGGACGTGTGGAGCGTGATTTGACTTTTCGGATAATTGCATGCAACTTTTCCAATATATTAGGCTAAATTATATATAAAAATAAACAAAAAAATAAAAAATAAAAACAGCTATGAAGACCATTCGAGTTGGTACACATGTCAACATTTTGAGTCAACGAACCCATAGGGTTAGGTTACGAATTATATTCGGGTAACTTAATGTACTAACCCAACGAACCCATAATCTTGGGTTGGTCTAAGAGATTTCCAACTTGACTTAATCTGGGCTCGTGTACATCCTTACTTTTGTTGCTGAGATATACGTTTCGTCCTCTCTCTCTCTCTAACTGATGGGGATCTCATTTCATAGTCTACTCTCCAATGTTTGACTTTAATACCATTTGTAACATATCAAACCTACCAGTAGTAGATATTATCCGTCTTAACCAGTTACGTATTGTCATTAGTCTCACGGTTTTAAAACGCGTCTTATAAGAAATATTTCATTTCCCTTTATCCTTATAAGGACTATAAGGAATGTTTTCTTTCCCTTTTCCAACTAATGTGGAATCTCACAGTCTACTCGGGCTAAGGATCCTTACTAGCACACTGCCGATGTCTGGCTTTGATATCATTTGTAATAGCTCAAGCTCACCGCTAACACATATTGTATGTTTTACTTTATTATGGATTGTCGCGAGCCTCAAGATTTTAAAACGTATCTACTAGGGGAGGTTTCCATACCTTTATAAGGAATATATGATTATTTTTAAAACCCGACCATTAAATTAAAACTTTAGTTGAGATCTTCATATTTGTAATTTAATTAAAACGTACGCTCCGCTTAGCGCGTGGAAGCTCTAGCCACTGAAACATCTCATCCGATCTCAAAACCATGACGTGTACTAAACGACAATCAAAATCCAAGTGAGAAAGAGAAAATCTCACAAATCAATCAAGAAAACGAACGGCCAGATTTCAGCCACGTGAGTAATGTTACTGTACGCACCTCCCCACTATATATTACAGTGCCGCCTCACATTTCTGAGCATCAAATCCCTTTTTTTCTCACAAGCTTCCATTGAAGCGAAGCCCTAGACTTTTCTCTCCTCTGTATATGGGATGGAGTCGAACCACCAACAAAACGACACCGTTGCGCCGTTCGTAATGAAAACATACCAGATGGTCAACGATCCGATAACCGACGATTTAATCGCGTGGAGCAAAGCTAACAACAGCTTCATCGTCGCCGATCCTTTGGAACTCTCTCGCCGTATTCTTCCTTCTTACTTCAAACACAATAACTTCTCCAGTTTTGTTCGCCAGCTCAACACCTATGTAAGTCCAAATTCTTATCAATTCTTTCAAAAATTTCTATTTAGTCCTCCAATTTTGATCTCGATTACAAATTAAACCACAAATCTAACCAAAATTTCAATTTCACCCCGTTTTAATTCAAGTGGTTAACTATTTTTTAAAATTAAATTGTAAAAAAAAAAAATAAATAACACAAATTTTTAATGTATTTTAATGCAAATAAATATATTTTTTAAAAGACTGCAATAAAAAAATTTGGGTAAAATGGTTATTAAATTATTATTACTTTTTTCTATGTGGTTCATAGCATAATTCATGAAAAATTCAAATTATTTTAATTATTTAAATTTTTTTAATATATAATTTATTAAATTTATTTTGTTGGGGACAGGGATTCAAGAAGGTGGATCCAGACAAATGGGAATTCGCGAGCCAATGGTTTCTCAGAGATCAAAAGCATTTGCTGAAGAACATCTCAAGAAGAAGACACAGCCGAAATTTACACTTTCAAGTGAAACGTGAAGACGACGGAGAATTAGCAATGGAAATTTCAAAGCTAAAAGAAGAACAAATAGCTTTAGAAACCGAAGTCGAATCAATGAACAAGCGAATCGAGGCAACCGAAAAACGCCCGCAACAAATGATGTCCTTTCTGTACAAAATCATGGAAAATCCCGAAATTCTTCAAAGAATTCTGCTGCAGAACCGCCGTGTACGGCGGCGTGTGACCATGCGACCGCCTCCAAGTCCGGTCAAATTCGTGAAAGCCATGGAGGATGATTCGTCGCCGGAGACCGGTGTTTTCGATGATAACGTTGCCTTGTCGCCGGAGACTACCTTGTGGTGGAACGGCGGCAGCGCTGTTGCAAGTTCGTTGACGTCAGACTCCGGCGGCGGATTTGGCGATTACATAGAGCTGTCGCCGCCTGAGAGTAATATTTCGGTTTACGAACTCGGCGACGGCCGAGAGAGTGTCCTGGCGGAGATGGTGGCCGGAGGAGGGTCGAGTTCGCCGCCGCCTTATCCGTTTTCGTTGTTTAGCGGTGGGTTTTAGGATAAATCCCCATCTTAATTTCGGATTATTATTTTTTTTCCTTTTTATGTATTATTTATAGTGCGAATATAGATGGGAAATTATGTTTTGCTATCCGTATAACTGTATGTATATGTAAATGGAAAAAAAAAATATATATATATACATATATATATATATATGTCGTGTTAGGCTGCAATATTTTACCAATCCGAAATTTATTTATTTTTTAATAAAATATTTAATGTTAACCAATCTGAAATTTATAGTTCAAAATTACTGCGCTATTTTTACCAATTTACTAAATTTAAATTTTACGCATTAAACATACCATATGAAAAATTAAGGTTAAATTTAATAAGTATGAATATAATTTTTGTTTAAATAAACCTTTATGACATTATTTTTTTTACCCGTTGAAAACAAAGCGTATAAAAGTTTATTTTTACTTTTTAGAAATCGGTAAAAAAATAAATCATTACGAATCAAAATTTTTACCTTTTTATTTTTTAAAAGTTGTGTTTGTATACGACATTTTATTTATTTTGACTTTCGTCCTTTTAAGCTCATAAACTCGAATAAAAATAAATTCTTAAAATTACTTTTATGAAAATTCTGAAAATATTATTAAAAAAAGTAAAAAAAACATAAAATAAAATAAAAAAAACTCCGATGAAAGTAATATAAATAATAAATAATAAAAGTCTAAAATCTAAAATGATAATTTTCTAAATTATATAATAACATTCCAATTTTAACCTTGTTTGAATTAATATTTTTGTAAAATTGGAAATTCGACATTTTAACCGACTGGTGGGGCCCACCTGCCACCAACAACACCAAACTTATCTTTCTTGTTATGACGCGTGTCAACTACTGGGTCCCACTATAACAACATTTCATGGGCCCCGCTTGCCGCTTCCCCTCATGTTGTCACGTGTACGATAGGGTATAGTCTCTTACGCTTTCCTCTTTTTATTTTATGTCTATTTTTATTTTTAATTTTTTTAAAGTTAGTGGGCCCCAATTGCCTTGATGGGTTACACGTGTTGCATGACGCGACGTCGTTTTTCTTTTTGTCGTTTTTTGAAAGCGGCTTTCACACAAGAGACACGTGTACATGTGTACACCTGTATGATCATGTATCCTGCCAACTGGACCCACTTATTTTGGTGGGCCCCGCCATTGTTCGAAACTTTTACATCGCAACAAATAAAACCATGTGACTGTTTTTAATAATTTCTCGAAATATTTAATTATAATTTGTGACCAAAAAGTCAAACGATACATTTATTATTGTCTTAAATGTTGATGAATTATACTTCTAAATTTTAAATTATAAAATTAAATTAAATTAGTCTATAACCCTCTATTATAATATTTTTTTATAATTTATGTTAATTTAAAATAATATATATTTGAAGTATATAAATTTTGAGAGGGGATAAATGAGGTCGAGCATAGATGAGTTGGAGAATATTATGTGACACGTGTCCGCTTTTTAACATCCCATCGTTGGGACGCTCTACTCGGGTCGGGCAAAACCCAGACCACCACTTTTATTTTTATTTGTTTACTTTATTCGAAGCTTTTTTAATTTTTAAATTTAAATATTTGTGGTCTAAAATTGTACACGTTCTCTTTATGAGACACGTCATGGCATCCCTTTTTAAGTATAATAATGTACTTTTGTTTTTTTATCAATTTTTTGAAACACAAAACTACGTTTTGAAAATTAAAAAAAAATATTGTTGGGTTTTGAATGAATAATAATTCAAATTCTTTATTTGAAAAAAAACCCATAAATTTAGATAAAATAATAAACCATCATTTACCTATTTTCAAATATTTAATAAAATTTACCATTCAATTTTAACGTATTTTAAAAAGAATTTTGGCTATGCTATTGGAGGCTCTGAAAAAGTCAAAATAAGAGAGCACTCATTTTGAAGTGGGCTTACTACTGAGATGTTTTCAGTAATTATCCGCTCCGCACTTGGCTACCCAGCGTTTATCGTGAGCACGATAACTAGTATACCAGAGGTGCATCCTTCCCGGTCCTCTCAATGCTCTACGTCCACATCGGATATGGACGAAACTTTCTCATGACGTTCTGAATTTTTCGAGTCATTAAAATTTTGAGCATTAAAAAAAGAATTCCGTTGTGGTCTTCAATTTTTCAAAATATTTATTTTAATTATTGAAATACAAAAATGTATTTAATGGACTCTTTGTTTTAATTTTAACAGACCAATGACATAACTTTGTACATATTAGTATATTTTTAAGGCCAAAATAATCATGGACTAAAAGGTTAAATATACTAATTTGGATTAAGTTTCAAATTAAAAATGAGATTATTGTTTAATGAAGTCCATCGTCGTCAAAGAGAGTTTCAATTTCTTCCAAGCTTTTCCCCTTGGTCTCCGGCAGAAAGTGGTAAAAGAAAGCCGCCGCCGCCGCCATTATCCCGGCCAGCCCAAAAAACATCCCTCCAAACGATATTTTACTCGAAATGCTCAGAAACGTCATTGCCACCAAACCACTTACCAACCGGTTCACGGAAACCGCCAGGCTCGAACCTTGGGCCCGCAATCTAGACGGAAATATTTCCGACGAATAGACCCACGTGATGGGCCCAAGCCCAATAGAGAAAAACGACAGGGCCGCACAAATAGCCACCACGCAAAGCCCAATAGCCCATTTGGGCTTTTCATCTGAATACTCCAGATATTTCGAGCCCAGGCCCAGCCCAGCCAACGAACAAGCCATACCGGTCGAGCCCAATAACAAAAGTGGCCTCCGGCCGAACCGGTCCAAGAAAAAAGCCGAAATCAAAACAAATCCCATCTTAGCGATTCCCATTACGACTGTTACGCCGACGAGTTGTTTGTCATCATCAATTCCGGCCTCTCGAAAAACCTCGGGACTGTAATACACAACGGCGTCGTTTCCAGAAGCTTGCATGAAGAAATTGATTCCAACGGCGGTGATTAGAATCCGGCGGACCGACGGAGAAGGATTCAGTAACAATTCTTTCCAAACACTTTCATTACCGCGCCATTTGCAAGAAGCGGAAACCGATCCGGTAATTTCTGTAAATCTGAGTTCGGCTTCTTCTTTCGATTCAGAAATTTTAATTAGGACTCGTTTCGCTTCGATTTCTCGACCTCTAATCGCAAGCCATCGAGGCGATTCCGGCATGGCGGTGACACCGAGGGCGACAATTACGGCCGGAATCGCTGAAATTCCTAGCATAAATCGCCAATTAACGGTTTCAGAAAGGCCAGAGAAGGCGTAATTTGAAATATATCCGAGTAAAATTCCAGCGCTAATGAAGATTTCCGGCAGAGATGTGAGGAGGCCTCGAGAAAACGCCGGCGAGAGTTCGGCGACGTAGACCGGAGCGATCATCAGAGAGAAGCCGACGCCAATGCCGGCAACGACGCGGCCTGCGACAAGGAAGAGGAAAGACGGTGCGAAGCTCATCAAGATGGCACCGATTAGGAATGTGGCGGCGGCTATGAGGACTGTGTATCGGCGGCCGATCCGGTCGGAAGTCTTGCCGGAGGCGAGAGCTCCGATTAGAGAACAGACGTTTAAGGAACCGACTAAGAGCTCTTGTTGTTCTGTGGAGATTTTCATATTCTCTTTGATGTACAAAATGGCTCCACTCATCACTCCTATATCTGAAATTATCGGCACAATTACACTAATTAAAATAATTAAAAATTAATTATGCTATTTAATCAATAATTAAAAAAATATATATTTATGTTATCAAGCTTGTTCTTGGATTTTTAAAAAATATATAGAATTTATCAATAATTACAGAAATTTGCATTTAATGTTGAAATAACTATAACTAATTTAAATATATATACATATTCAAATTTAATAAATATATGTTAATTATTAAATGGATTAAAAAACTAAGAAATTGAAAGAGAAAATGGTATGAACTAACCATAGCCGAGGAGAATGGAATTGGTGGAAGCCAAAACGGCACCGGCGAGCACATATTTATTGATACGACGGCTCTCTCTTTCAGCAACACCGTTCGGGGGCGACGGGGACGATTCGACCAGCTTAGGAAATGAACCTCCTCCTCCTCTTCCGCCGTCAACAACGGCGGCGGCGGCGGTAGTTTCAGGCGATGAATCGAGAAGTGGAAGGAAGAGCCGTCGGCCGTCGTCTTGTGGTTGCAGAGCCACAGTGGATTGCATCGCTGGAAAAATGAAGAAGTGCACACGTCGAAGAAAGAGTTTTTTACGATAATAAATAACTAAATAATAATAATAATAATAAAAAAAAAGAGAGATAAAGAAAAGCATGCCTATCTCCAACGTTAGTTTATTGACATATATAGATATTGTTTCAAATTTTAACAATTTCAATTTTTTTTTTTAAATCGTAATATTTTGTTTAATTTGTTTTTTTAAGGATAATATTAAAAGTTTATGGGTGTTTTTGTAATAACGTTCTAACGATTTATATTAATTATTAATAGTAAATGTATTTTTAAAATTTTTTAAGTTTAAAAATATTATTAATATTTGTATTAAAAATATTTTTAATATTTATATTAATTTTAAATAGTCTCTCCATTCATATGAAGCATTTTGGGAAGTTCAAAACAAAATTATGAGAGCTTATGCTCGAAGTGAACAATATCATACCATGGTGTAGAATCGTGATAAAAAAAGCAAAGTCATGGGAGTTTATGCTCAAAGTGAACAATATCATACCATTGCGGAAAGTCGTGATAAAAAAAGTAAAGTCATGACCGCTTATGCTCAGAGTGGATAATAACATACCATTATAGAGAGTAGTGATAAAAAAAAAAAATCATAGGATTAAGAGATAAATAAAAAAAAAATAAAAAGTGACTATTTTTTTTTTTTTTTTTAAATAATTTGGACAGAATTGATAAAGTGGCTTTAAGGGCCATGCAGGTGACACACGCCCCCCTTCATAAAGTTGGCATTATTTGTCTTTTTGTTGTTAAGGCACGACACATGACCGCAGTCCTTTTATGATAATAGTAACAATAATTTGGTTATCATCTTACATGGTATTTTGTCACGCTGTTTATCCTGGAACATACAGGTCTTTTCATGTTTTATTGCATCCTTTATAACAACTTTCCCCCTATATGTATAAATAGTAATTTTTCATTATTTTAAATATTTCTTAGTCAAACCAATGAATGACCTCTCTTGTGGATAGATTAAACAAGGGTGACTATTAAATGTCTGGTTAAAATCTTATTGGTAGAATAATTCAGATTTTATTGGTCCTAGCGCTCGAAACGAGACAAATACTTGTGTAGATAGGACACGAGATGAATCACAAGTTCCATTTCACCCTGTCCAATAGAAGACACTTTTCCTCAATTTTTTTAATTCAGTATTCCACAAGATAACCAACAACTTTTAGGTAGGCTTCAAACCGACACAAGTCTTTTCATGCTTTATTGCATCTCCTATGACATGGTTCGCTTTATTTATTCTACTCATTCACACACTTCGTAAGAAAATTTCTTCAAACCAACCTAAGTCTATATAGAAAAATATCTAAAAGATCAACTAACATAAAATTGTTCTAAACAAAACACGCTTTAACTTTGGAGTTCTTATAATTGAGTCATCGAGAAGAAGAAATGATATTATCTCGGGAATACCTCTCAATTCAAAGGGTACACTTTTAAGAAAAAGATTTCAAAGATATTTCATGAAAACAGGGCATGATGAGTTGATTGAAACGGAGAGAGAGATTGAACAAAAGTGGCTTAGAATATCTTGACAGTCTATAAAGGGAACAAATCAGGCATTTCCTCAGTCTCAAAATCTCTTATTTTTCATTAAAAGGATTAAAAGAGGTAAACCATTGCTTCCAAGGAGCATCATTTTGTTGCTCAAACCATGACAAAAAAGCACTGTCCAACAAGCAGAACAAGTTAACATAGAGAAGTTGGTACCTCACTGGCACATATCGAAAGTTTGCGACCTGAATGATAGGCCACACCGTACCCGTCAACATAAACGCCGGGAACACGTCCCGCTTCAAGTCTTCTTTCACTTCAGAAGCATCTTTGCCGTTGGCAAATCCCATATAACTGAAGAACACGATTAAGTCGAGTGGTCCGAAGATCAGCCCATCCATTGCCAGTTTTGCCCCAACAAACTTGGCTGATTTTGGCCGTAGCTGAAGCCTTAGCCTTATAAATCTGTCCAACCCTTCATACCTGCCAAACGATCCGATTTCTCAAATACTCGTGTACACAAATAACGTATAAGTTCAAAACAATCATTCCAATGAATAATCGTACTAATTTTGATGCGAGAAAATGAAAGAATACAAGAGCATACAAAAAAGAACACAGCCCACAAATGCGAGCACCCTAAAGAGAAAGGGGGTCCAATCAAGTTACAAAAAATAGTACTTTACAAATTCATGCAACTTTTAAGCAACCTCTAGCAGCTTCAGAGGTGTTCACGAGTTAAGTTTATATAACCTAATGTAAACAAGTTGAGTGAGTTATGTTTAAACCTGCATTAATCTCGAGTGAGTTATCTTACTTACCCCAAAATATGAGTTTACTAAACCTGAAGGATATATAAACTCGAGATTATAGAATCGCCTTCTTATACTCCATGTTAACTCGACAAATTATAAATCCACAAACCAAACTCATGTTATATTAAACTCACAATCTTTAAAACATATTTCCTTGTATAAAACTTCAAACTATCCTACACCAAACTTCATGAATCCAAGAAACTTAGATACGTTATCCATTTAATGGTATGGTACTTGCAAGGACTTGATCCAAGAATCTAAAGAACTTTCCAATTTTTTTTCCCTTACATAGAGAACCATGAAGATTAAACAAACCAACCAATTGCCACTTCAATCTATGCATTCACAGAATATGAAAATAAAAAATAATGGATAAAGCAGAGCCATGTTGCCTTCCTGAGAATATAGAAGCTTATTCTTGTAGTAACAAAGATGATAGATATGACCAAAAGTTGATAAGGAAAAGATAAAGGAAACGAACCACATGTGACCGACTGGTCCAACAAAGCCGAATCCAAACATGCTTGTGATTCCAACACGTTTCCAGTTGATTTTGAACTCTTTTTCAGCATCCTGCTACATAAAAAAATTAATTGTAGGTGTTGGTTCAGTTATAATATACACCTAATATCAGTACAATAAGTTATTTCAGATCAACAAATAAAGGAAGAGCACCACTTAGCAACAACTTCAGAGAAAAACCAAAGAAAATTGATGTGAAATAAAAGAGCAAAAACAAATATGAAAATAGAACCAAAAATAGATTAAGAAAACTTAATTATAGATCTAGGGTTGCAAACGGGTGTATTGTGCTAAAGATTGAATTGGAATACGAATATCCAGACAATGTAACTGTGAGATCCCACATCAGTTGGATAGGGAAACGAAACATTCTTTATAAGGGTGTGGAAACCTCTCCCCAGCAGACGCATTTTAAAATTGTGAGGTTGACGGTAATACGTAATGAGCCAAAATGGACAATATCTATTAGCAGTAGGCTTGGGCTATTACAGTAACTTGGAGCTTCAAATATCATCACCCTTATATGGTTAGAAAAGGATCATGCCAAGCTTGAACTAAGAGAAGGTAAGCAGGTTGTGAACCAACAAAAAGATTGACAATTCGTGAACTTTTATTTGATAGACGTACAAGAACATAAGCTCATAGGGGTTCCACCATTAGCAAGAGGCAGTGGGCCTTGGAGGAGACGAGGAGCAGGAGAACACAATGACACCCAACCAAAGTCTTAAGTTACTCGAGAAATTCAATCACATTCTGTAGGATTTCTTGTCTTGAAAAATCATACTGTTTCTTTCTTGCCAAGTGACCCGGCAGAAGGGTCTAATAAAATTCTCCCAAAGGGCTTTTGTCTCCATCTTCAAGGGATGTTCCCCAAGAATGAAATTCAGCATCCGTGGTACTTCTAAGAAAATTCATTAAAATTCTCCCAGAATACTCTTTAATTCAGGATTTCTAAAGTAAAGAACACTCTCCAAAAGAAGAGTAGTTCTTAGTTAACTATTGAAAGTGGTACTTCTAAATGATTAAAAAAATTGCCCAAAAATTGAGAACAAATATCCTTCATATACATTTAGACATAAAATGATATCCCACAGCCCAAGAACTTTAATTAATCAGGAAACTTCAAAATGCACTGAAGATGCAATCAAGATACAGCATCAACATTACGCGGGCTAATTCTAAAAAGCAAAGATCGCCGAAACTTACGGTAATTTCTTGCTCGAGTAAAACCAAGGAATTAATTGAAGTTAGGACTAAAAATCAAATGACAATTAACAAAAACAAGACAATGAAATATTTCATCGCTCAACCTAAATCAGAGCAAGAACAAGACAAGAACAAAAGCAATTCAAGTCAACAAGAAAATTCCGATCAATGAAAGGAAATCAACCACAAGCTCAAAGAAGGAATCAAGAAAGATAGCCTCATCAATGAAGTTACAAAGAAAACAAAATGAAGCGGTTGATGCTCACAGAAGTTTGAAGATGAGTTTTGGCGGCCGAGTGAGTAACGTATTGGGCTGCAATGTCGCCAGTGCCCCATAGAATGGCGGAGCTGATGACCTGAGTCTTCACCGGATGGAAGGTAAGGCAGTTCTGATACCATTTCCAGAGCCTAAACATGGCGGAAAGGATTCTCAGAGAAGAAAATTATGGGAAGACGGAGGAGAGGAAGGGAAGAAGTGGGTGAGAAGTAGAATAGGAGAAGGAAGATGAGAGTCCCATGCCTCCTAATTTGACGGCATCGAGTTTTTGGCGGTCAATTCTTCTAAGCCCATTCTTCTCATTTTCCCTCTTTTTTTTTTCATTTCTAATTAAAGGTTTAAATTTTATTCAGTCACAAATTTCAAAAATATTTATTAAATTTATTTTATTTTAATTTCTCGTATTTTAAAATCTCTATTATTTTAGCCCCTAAAGTTTAAAAAATTGTTCAATTTGTTTCTAATGTCTGTATTAACATCTTAGACACCTATTTAAAGTTATGATATTAGTGAGTTATAATTAAAATCAAAGTAAGAACTCGAAAATTTGGAACTAATTTTAAAAATTCGATAATCAAAATAGAATAAATTTAAAAATTGTGCACCAAAATGAACATGTGAGATACCATTGAAGAGGAGAATGAATGCCAACGTGAATGCTGGGATGTGGATTGTGAGATACCACATTTGTTGATTGCCAGCAAGGACGATGGACTCCGAGGTGGGTGGACGTTGGGTTTCGAGGGGGTGGATTGTGAAATCTTACCTCAATTGATTGTGAGATTTCACATCCGTTGAAAATAGAACGTTAGCATTCTACGTTTTAACAAAAATGGAAGACCCAAAAAAGACAATATCTGTTAAAGCTATTATTTCAAATCGTAGTTCATCCAAGGTTTGAATAATTTTCTTTTCGAGACTATAATTCGATCGAACAAATTTGGTTGTTTGTTCACTCAAAAGTGTCTCATCTTTTCCAATTTTTTAACTTCGGAACTACAAACAATTGGAATTTTATATCACCAGGCAAAACTGAGCACACAAAATCAAGAACTTGACGTTAAATGAGATTTTTATGAACCTTTCACATGAACATGTACAACTATTTCATGAATGAATATAAATGAACTGAATTTAGTATAGAAGAGTAACCAATTCACAGAAATCCAACCCTTCAGAAGTCCTCTCTCAAGACTACATAATATACTGAACAATATTTGAACTTTCAAAAGGATAGAAACTCGAAAGCTCGGTTCACAAATCACACTGTTACAAAATTACTCACTGGGACGCAACAGTCTCGGCCTTGCACTTAGCCAGACGACGGTGTTGCAGCGTGGTCGGTTCAAATCCGGAGGTGAAGAAGAAGATATGCAAATGCTGCCTACTATGAACCTACTAATATCCCCATTCTTAACTTTTCTCAAGTCAACTTCTTTCTATGGTCATAATCTCGGAACTCATTGTTGAAAGTATTTGGGGCATCGACATTCCTCCTGAGACGACGATTTCTGCAATAATATCACAGAAATAACGACAGAATTACGATTGATCTCTGGTGAGAATATGGTTCACCATATATATATACATTTCAGCCTTCCTTCCCTCAATATTTCAAGTTTGAAAATAAGTCAGAATCCTACAATTCAGCAATTTCCAAGAATCAAGAACTCTGACCTATTGGCATTCTATGTCTCATGAACTTGCTCAGACCACAAGATAATGTTGAATTATAATGTAATTGACAATACCAACTTTACAAAGCTTTGGAAGGTTAAAGTTTAGTTCAGTTCAGTTCAGTTATCAGGAATGAAATTGGTAGCATAATAGGAAATTTATGCAACAAGCGAGAAAAAACCCGAAGAGAAGCCTCACCAATTCCTTCTCGCACTGATAAATTTGGTCTAATAACATCCTTGGTATGAATCAGGAAAACGTCACCGATATAGAGATGGTTCGTGGGGACGTAGACACAGCATAGCTCCTCCTCCCCGGAATAGCTCTGCCTCAAAACAGACAGGGTTAGACAATCAAGATTACTTAGGCTGGAGGAGTAAGCAAATGCATTTTCCGAATGAGTTTTCATCATCTCTTCTTCCTCTAATTTCTCTATTTATTTAGGAAGCATTACGTGAAAAAATTTCTATCAACTTTAGTATGATTTCGAGAGAAAACAATAATTTTATAAAAATGACAAAAAAGGTTATGAATCACTAACCAAAGACCTAAATCGGTTCAATTGCGAAAGTTTAGGATTATAATTGATTTAACCAAAAAAGTTTAGAGGTATAAAAAAGTTTCCCAAAAAACATATCAGATTCTATTTGCCCTCAGTTTACCTGGAGTACTACGGATGAAGTGATGAAACCAAATGCATATTCGCCAATACGAGGATGTCTTATGATAGCTACTTCCTTGAACGCTTGTGAGTTTTGGTCTGATAGTAAAAACAGAACAATTAGCTAACAGAACTCAAGCAACCAAATGAGGAGCAATGACAAATAATCAGGAACCACCTGATGATATTGCAGAACTAATTTGCTTAGAAGCGTTGTAGATATGACGAACAAACGGCATCCTCTTGATAAACCACTCCCCAAGGCCCAGGACAGATGCTCCCAACCAAGATGACATAAACACACCAACCAGGAAGATGAATGTAATGGAAGTTACAAATCCAAGACCTATTGAAGATGCAAAAACAAAAAAGCATGACTAGACGAACTTGAACAAGAAGAAACGTATAATACTAATGAGGCACATCTCAAGGAGATCAATAATCAGTGTTTCATGAATTGAAGTCCTATAATTCGTGAGACATAAGAGACTCAGAAAGTAAATCACTTTACACGTTCATTGAATCCATTTATCTTGCTCAAAATATTATGTCAAATTGTCATATGTCATAAACAAGAGGGGGAAAGGATCACAGTCAATTCCTGAGATGTATCTGGTACAGAAATTCAATTTAGTTCCTAACATCTAAACGTGTTTTTTGAATAATTGGGGTGTGGGGGCCAACTCCTTGTATTGCCCATAATCCACCCGACTCGTGTCCAGGGAGGCTTTGTCCACCCAAAGGTTTGCTCCCACAGACAACAAAGGTTTTAAATTAAACTTTCTAGGTAAGGGGCTTGAACCTAGGACCTTGAAAGGGGTATCTCAAAACATCCCAATCTCTCACCACCAAGGCTTAGCCTTAAAGTACATCTTAACATGTTATTAAAAAATGAGGACGAAAGGAAATTGCATCTCAAAAATATAAGTTACTTGTTAAATATAGGAATGTTTGCAAGGTAGTCAAATCATCGTTGTCAATCAGCAAGCTAAAAGTCTAATCGTTCAAGAACAATATGATAGATGAACTGCATAAATTATCTTCTTATACCACCACAAGTTAGTGTATAAAACATGTCAAATAAATATCAGAGACAGGATAAGAAAAGATGAAATAATGGCTCACCAAAGATATCAATTCCAAGATGTGCATAGATTGGAGAGAAAAATCCATCCACAAAGCGAATAAACCACCACGTTATATAGAATGTAATTGCGATAGGGAATAGGATAACACTGCAGAAAGCATTTTGTTACAGAACATTGTAGCATACTCAATGAAGAAATAAACAGGTAAGTACAACATCGTTTAAAGTACAGAGTGCCATAGGCAAGACAAAAAAGAGGATGGAACTAAGCACTTATTGTCAAGGGCAAGAGTTCGACATATATTTTGGTCTAATCGATTCGTAATAGAACTAAACATCCATTCAATCTCAATAGTCAAAATTTAGTCATCACGCATAAGCATTTATTGTAATCCTTAGAAAACAATTCTTAAGAAACAAGGCAAATCCCTTCATGACATTTAGGACTGTCAAAAGGAAGATGTTGCTTGAACAGCCAATTGAGAGAAATCAGAAAATTCCAAAACACATGGAGGAAACCCCTTCAAGAACATTACCGACACATTGTACCCTAGAACGTTACAATTTTCCAAAATGTGGAGATTTTCTCCCTTCTTCAGCCTATATACCCTACGCCTTCAATAATGCCAAAGGAGTATCGGTGCACTTGGACAACTCCTAAAACACTGTGTACTATAGCTTGTGACCACCAAATTGAATCACAAAAACCAGAAAGTATTGAGTTTAATTTAATTAGGGTAGCCTCCCATCGTAAAGCTTTTGCTATGAATTGTGACAGAAGAATATAAACAATGCAATAACATGAACATAAAATTGATTCAAGGATATATAAAAGACTGCTGCAATGTATGTAATACAAAGTATAACCCTCTTCAATAGATATCAAGATACAAACATGCTTATATTGCATGAACGTATCTAAAGAGAAAGAAGAGCTCACCATCCAGTCATGAATTTCTTTGAAGCCCAGCTTCTAACAACCTTGTAAAATGTCTAAAAGAAATATTGAATAGACTGGTTAGGCAGATAATAAGGAGGAAAGTATAAAATCTGATATATATTCCAATTGCGAAGAACTTAGTGAAAGTTAATGTTAATTTGTAATATTGAATTGCTCCTATGAATTGTAACAGAGCCAACATCAATCAATTTCTCCAACGGGCAAAGAGAAATAAACCAGATTCTGAATTGAATTGGTCAAGAATTAGTAAGACCAGGCATGTGCTTTACTCTGATACTAGGAAATCCACAACAAATTTACAGAGCGCTAGACTAAAAACGTTCTCGGCGAATCTAAGGACAAGTTACAAATGAAGCATAGCCAGCCTAAATTATACCTCTCTGCCAGAATGAAGAGATGACGAAGGTTTTGAGGATGCATCATCAATGGCGGACTCCGGAACCGAAATAAGAAGCTCTCGATCTCGCTCTCTGTCTCTGCTCGCCATGGCAATAACCGATTTCTCATCACCCATGGCCACCACACCAGCAGAGCAACACCTTTTTTTTTTTTTTTTTTCCAGAAACCCTAACCCTAATTCCCTCCAAAAAGCGGTAAGAACAGTACCAGAATCGGAGAAGAAGCTGTAGAAAAGAAATTTCCAGACGGGCAAGAACTTTCCGAGATCTTCTTCCTCAATATTGGTTGCTTGTAGCTTTCTCGGATTCCAAACTTCAAATTCTCGAAGTAATGAATTTCTGTGAGGTTGAAAAGCTAAGTGGGAAGTGGGATTGAAGAATTGAATCAAATTGAAATGAACTGTGGAAAATCATGGAGGAAGGTAAGAATTTGCATTGTTGGATTGGTAATTTGCTCAGAATTCTGCTGTCAATTAGTTTGTGTGAGTTGACAAAAATTTTCTCGCCTCATTTGGAAGAAAATAAATTATTTTTCTTTGAAGATATCAATATTTATTAATATTGTATTTTCATAAATGGGCGAAATTAATATTTTTCAAAATTAGTAACTTATGATATATAAATATATAACCAAGTCATTTAGATATAAACAATAGAAAATAAAGGGTATGGAGTATGCAATAAATTTTTAAAGGCTACAAAAATATTTTTATCGAATTGGATGGTTGATTTTGTTGCTATGCAAGCTAGTGGCAACCTACGAGGCTGAGCCCGTACCACACACTCGAGCACAAAGAGTCGAGGCAGTGCCTCAGATCCCTACAAGTAGAAGATGATCAAATCCGCTACACTCACCTATAGCCCTGATATTAAATCGACTTTAGACTAGCTTTACATTACAAAATACCCCTCGAGAGCTCGAGAAAAGGATATTTGGGTTTGGAACAAGGAGTGAATTGGGATAGCTAGCATGAGTATGACTTAACTGATATCGAACATGTATCATCGATCGAAAGGTCAGAAATTTGAATATTTCATCCCACGGTTTAACTAAATAGGTTAGGGATGGAATATATAATAGGTTTCCTACCAAACATAACTAATGATTTTTTTGGGGCGTTTAAGGATAGAGACAAAGAAGCATAATCTACCATGACAACAAAATGTTCGTGATAAATTTGAAGACTGGCTCGAGATTAGCTCGTTACTTTACTCGGCCGAGTCTTATTCTATAGTGTATTTACGTCATTCTAAAAATAATTAAAGAAGAGGTAGTTATGCACGAGAGGATCGTAAGGAACTGTTTAGTCCAAATAGTACTACAAAATCGAGCCTAAACGAAATAAATACCAAGACAAAAATAAAATAAGTATAAAAATTTAAGCATATTTTTAAACCTAAAATAAATATTAATAGTTCAAAATGGGAAAATTAGAGTTTAGGGAGGGAAGAATAATTTAAACCTATATTTTATTATACAATTTGATAAAATATCTCAAAAAAAAAAAAAAAAAAAAAAAAAAAAAAAAAAAAAAAAAAAAAAAAAAAAAAAAAAAAAAAAAAAA